ATTTAATTTTTCTGTTTAATATTACCAGAAGGAGAATGTATCTACTACTTTGGTGAAAGCATTGGGAACACAGTGGAGAGGAGGATGCCTAATTTTAAAGGAATGGAGCAAAAGAAGTTCATGTTGCACCAGAAGTAAAAATCTACCTGAAATCAGTGATAGAATTTTTTTTTTTTTTTTTTGGCACCGGGGATCAAACTCAGGTCCTTGCACTTGTGCAGCAGGCGGCAAAACCACTGAGCTAAATCCCCGGTCCAGTGATAGAATTTTTGATGCTTCTAAACACCATTTTGTGAGTTTTAAAAATCTTTCTTTGTTGTGGAGTCTTGTAGTCCCAGTGTATAACAGCCTTCCGTGTATTAAAAAATGTATTAAAGTTGAATCTAAAATGTAAATTTAGTGTAGGCAGCAAGAAATGGGAAAGAGGGCTGGGGATTTAGCTCAGTAGTTTTGCCGCCTGCTGCACAAGTGCAAGGACCCGAGTTCAATCCCCGGTACCAAAAGAAATGGGGAAGATCTCGGAGCAGAATAATGCACAACCTATTGCATTCCATCTGCTTCTCCAAATGAGTGGGTGGAATCCATCCTAAAACCAGTTCTACTGTGATGGGTTGTAAAGCTATCCTTGGGGTCCGCATAGCCTCCATCAGGCTGCTTCACAAATATTTTTTTCCCATGCCTCTGCTGAACAAAAATGGTAGCATTTAATGTACCGATTTACTTATCTCTTTCCTCTGCCTCACATTAAGTAAGTATCCTGAGAAGGTGAGAAAAAAGAAGTTGAAGTTTTAGGGTTGAGAATACAGGTTCTGGAGTCTCCACTAGTAAGGGCAATGTTAAAATAGGCTGCCATAGCAACAGCAACAATAAAACCACAAAATCTCTGGAGTCTTGGGAGGGTGATCACATCAAAGATTTATTTCTTGCTTTCAGAAGGACTGATGCATATTCCATGATTCCTTACAGCACCTCTGTTTAGTTACCTTTTTGTTGCTCAGACAAAATACTCAATATTCACAAGTTAAAGGAGAAAAGGTTTATTTTAGCTTATGGTTTGTAGAGGTTTCAGTCGCTAGGTCCCAGGCAGGGTGGCATGTCACAGAGACCTTACAGAGGAGAAACAGTCTGTGGTATGGCAGGCGGGAAGCCAGTGAAGCAGCAGCAGCCCACCTTCTATCTTTCCCTTTATATTCCATCCAGACTACAAGCTTATTGGTTGATGTTATCCATGCTCAAGGTGGGCCATCCATTATCTACACCCAGAACTATGCCAAACCAATTTAGCATTATACACCCAATTATAACACATCCTTAATCCCAGTATCACACATAGTAGATGCAGCCACCTCTGTAAAGCCCTACCTATGAGAGCACGAGGCTTTGGGGATACATCTAGATGGGACATCTAGATACAAGTCATAACAAGATCTCTTCCGTGTGGTGTCTTATGGATCCAGGCTCTCTCTGTTTTGAGACCATGCCACATTAACTCATAGTTTCCAGGGTTGATACTCTTAAGTGCCTCAGTTCAGAAGAGACACACATCATTATTATTTGCCCATAATTTGTTCTGTGTACAATCCATTGACCATTTGACCTTCCATGTTTGTTGGAGGCTGGGAAATGCTGGGCGGCACACAGGACATTTAGTGAGCAATGCTGTCTAGTGTAGTCAGACCTGGTATCAATTCATACATAGTGCTTTGTACTAGTGTGTGAACCTGACAAGTTTGCTAAGGATTCTCTGCTATGGTTTTCTCCTTTGTAAAATGAGGTCGAAGACTTTCATGAGGTGTTGATTATCATGCATAGAGGCATGGAACACGTTCTCAAGAAAAATGTGATAGCTACTAGTATTCATGGCAGCTGCCCTGGGAAATAAATATAATTACCAATCAGGACAATTGGTACAAAGAATACTTTCAAAGTGAAACAGCCCTGAAAGAGGGAGCCAGTCCTCTGACAAGAAGTTTGGTGCACTTCAACTGGTAGATTTGTTTATACTTCTTTAAAGAAAGAGAATTTTTCCACCCTCGGCCATGGGGATAAGGGTCAATGAGAAATTTCCCTTGGTTCCTGGCTCTCTCATCTTTTATTTCAGGGGCCACTTCTGACACTGGTACTTGCCCTTTGATTTGGGGGGGTTTGTGAAGTCTTACCTCTTTGGTTTGCTTAACTCATCTTCCCGCTTCATTCTTGGGACTGTTTGTTTTCCTAACCTGGGTGTTCCTCAAAACTTTTGGTGAGCTTCCTCAGCTGGATCTTGCCTTGAGGAACCTTGTGGCCCAGCGAAGCTCTCAATTCCTGTGCAGCTTAAGCCAGGAGGCTCTTAGTCTGTTCCTCCATCCACAGGGATGGTGGTGGGAGGAGTGACTGATGCCAGTGTGGTGTGGTGACGGAGAGCTAATGCCATGTGGCCAGGCCACTCTGATCTAATTCTCTTACTGACCACTGAAATAACCTTAGGCAACACATTTAGCCAATTTGTACTTCAATTTTCTTGTTTGAAAAATAGGGACAATAATAGTAGTACCAGCTTCTTGGGGTTGTTGTGAAGATTAAATGAATATTAAAATGGTAAAAGTGCTAAGAACTGCTCCTGGTATATCATACATGCTTAATAATTATTCTGTATTATTATTTATTATTTAGAATCATGGTACCCTGGGAGCCCAAGGAAGAAAGTAATTAACTTGGCCCAAGAGAGCCACACAAAGCTCCATAGAAAGGCTAATACTTAGAGTTTTGATCAATGAGTAATTTCCCAGAGGTTGGTTTGGAGGGAGAGCAATCTAAAAAGAGAGAAAGGCTGCTATAAAGGCTCAGGTGTGCTACATAAAACAGGAAGTGCACCTGTAATGTCTGAGCTCTGGATAAATGTTGGGGTGGAAATTGTGGGGAGTTGTGACAATAGCTGAAGCTGGACGAGGGAGACAAAGGAAAGTTGGGAAGGGCTTTGATGCAAACCAGTAAGCTGTTACTTCACTTGTAGGCAGGGGGAAGCTAATCGAGATATTTAGGCAAAGTGATTCTGATCAGGTTGGTCAGATCCCAGTGATTGTGGTGTGAGAAACGGATGCATTGGGCTGCAGTGTTGGCAGGGAGTCCCATTGGTGAGGCTGGTTCATTAATTCATGGGGAAAAAAATCATGTGAGAGTTTTATATAATGGTTCATCAATACCAATTGTGCCTCCCTCCCTTCTTCCTATTGGTTTTTAGATAGCACATGATGTTTCTTTTCTTGTTTGTTTTGTTTTTCTTGTTTTTATTTTTGTTCCAAAAGCCAGTCTTTTAAAGCATGAATCTCATACATTGTTTTTTTGCCTATCCACCTACTGCTTTAGTCAACTAGAAAATTTTTATGCAACCATTGCATTTTAATGGGTTAAAGTATATTTGACACAGTCCTGTAGCTTTAAGTATGCATGAGATTCAAGTTGCCCAGGAATTTAGTTCTTCCTCTGCTTCACTTGTCACACCATTAGCAATATCCCTGGGTGAGTGACCTAGAGTTAAGGATTAAGTTTAAAAACCATCTTGGCATTTTTCTGCTTGCATTGGTTGGACTTAGACTGAGATTTCATTAAATATTTAATTTTATTTGGCTTGCTTCAGGGTAAAGTCTAAAAGAACTCTTAATAGTCTTTTTTTCACAGTTCACCTCTAATTCTCAAATGGAAGGATCCTTCCTTCAGATGCACAATTATTTCAAAGAATTTTACTATCATATGCTCTAACTTGAGTATTTGGAATTATGCTACTCATAGAACTAAGCCATCAAGAGCTTTGTCAAGCCCTTTGTAAAAGATCTGAAGAGCAAGTCCAACTACAATTGTAAGTCACAATTTTTTTTTTTTTTTTTGGTACCAGGGATTGAACCCGGGACCTTACGCTTGCAAAGCAGGCGGTGGCACCACTGAGCTAAATCCC